AAGATGATCTTGTCGATCGCGCAATGGACCCACAGCGCCTTGGAGATCGTGTCCTCCTTAATCAGACTCTCGGGCATACCAAGCAGAATGTCAATGATTGGATCAAACGCTTGAAGCCAACAATGGGCGATGCAAAGCACAACGTTGCATGCAATTGGTCGAGCCCCTGAAATGCTTAAGGCCGCCCGAAAAAGCGCATCGATCTTTTGCGTGCCAAAGTGTCAGACCTTGGATGCACAGTTTCTTTGGCATCCAAAATCAAGGGCCCAGAGCTCGTCACTGTGCTGCTTGCAGCCACAGCGATCAGTGACATCTGATTAGGATCAGATCAGGACATGCTGTTTGCCGACAATTCTCGAACATTGCTTCATGGATTGACGATCTTGTTACATGTCTTCTATGATGTTGATGATGATATTGCTTTTCGCTTACCTGAAGAGTACTGGCTGCATTTATGGGATTCAAGGTCTGGTGCGCTCTTTCACCAATTCTATATTGGGTCTACCTCTGTTTCAGTACAGTTTCGACAAGATGCTCGATTGCGCAAATATTGTTTGCTTCAACGCGGGGACTTTTGCAATGCCGAACTGATGCTGCGTTTCTTTCATACCCGTAGTGACCTTCTTGCCTCTGTTACTGTTCCTCTTCAGACCTTTGACAATCTTCATGATGCCCGAGCTGCAGAGTACTCGTATATTCATTCGTTGAAACCGCAGTTGAATGCTGCTTGGATTATCAACCTCAATGCTACTTCCACAACTCGTTTCACCCAACTGTATACAGTGAAGTCTACTTATGGAAGCCCAAGGAAAAAACTCTGGCTAAAAGTCCGAAGGAAGCTACGTGCTCTCGGCTTGCTGCGACTGTATGAGAACACCGTGACAATTGGGTTTTGCTGTGACGATTGCCAATGGAGGTATGAAAGCTTTTCAGACCGCCAAGAGACTTCAAAGTGCGGAATTCCGGTTGTGTAACCTGTTAGATGATCCTCCACAAGCTGCAGTACGGGCTGTACTTCCGCATTCTGAGCTTTCGTCAGTGTGCAGTTCCTCGCAGTCCTGGACCTTTGGTACTACGTTTGTTGGCACATGATTCTTTCCAGAGTGCAGTTGAACAATGGATCAGCGGCATCATTGTCGGTACCAAGGATTATATGATCCCGTTTCACCTTTCTCATAAGAACTGCGTTGCAGGAAAACCTTGATCACTACGTGATGTCATTATAACAACGTTCACATGGCTGAGTCATGGTCTTGAGACTCTCCTCCTGAATGTAATTGTGAAGCTCTACGACTTCAGCATCCCCATGAACATTTTGTGGATGGACGTTTGACTTTTGGTTTCACCATTGTCAACTTTGACTTTTTCCTGTCGCCTCAACTGTCTATTGCAATACTCCATGGATTCTCAGCTGCTCCCCAACCTTTTCCATTACATCCAGTCCACATGGCCTGCTGTTGACCGTGGGCTACGTCAACACAATGTTTTTACAGTTACACCGGAAGATTGGCGTTACTTGGTTCAATTAGGGTGGTCACGACACAAAGCAGCTGCGTTCACGCGCTTGCAGTGCAAAGACACTGCCTTCATCAAGAAGTCTTTTGCCGGTCTATTCATACATGGCCGAAATCATGCCATCACACACGGACATGCCTTTTGCCAACGATTTGCTTGGCAAACGTACAAATCTAAGTTTGGAGACACGGCGGTGTACCAACAAGTACCCCTGCAACCTTTACAGGCCGAGGAGTTCCTGCGCAGCACCGTATCTTGCTGGTTCTTCGCCGTTATAAATGGGAAATCAATCTTCGTACTTCTAGTTCACCAACTGCATATCTTCTTTTCAAGCAGAAGAAAGACTTTAAAGGTGCCGGTGCCAGACCAATCATTTCGTACATTTACTTTATGTATGCAAAACTGTTCCGAGTCACTGCCATTGTTCTTGATGTTATTCTTCGCACTACCTGTCCCCGATCTTTTGGGTTCAACACTTACAGCATTCTTCAGCAGCTCACAGAGTTCCTGCAGCAGCCCTTCGAAGATGCGTCAGCCGTTGTATACAATCAAGATCTTGTTGGACTTTTCACCTCTAGTCTATTCCTGTCTTTCGTATATTAAGCGCAATACGATGGGCCATCAACGAGTCTTGTTTGTGCTAGAAGAATGACATTCAAACAGCCTCTTTTTCAGTTGATCTTCGCGAACAAGACACAATATTCCGTATTTGGCGAGGTCGTCCTCGAAAAGCTGCAAAACGCACTGTGCTCGTCTATCTTGTCGATGTAGTGGACATTTGTGGACTCAGTTGTGATGCCAGCGTCTTCACCTTCATGCGCAAAGTATTTCGACAATGCCGAAGTGCTACCATCGGCAATCAGATCTCACCTATCTTGCTGGACTCACTGTTTTTATTGAAGAAGACATTTATGTGCGACAGCTGCAATCCTTTTTTGCTTCCATCAAAGACCTCTTTTTCTGCATTCGATATGTTGACAATCGTCCTGTGGTAATCTTACGAAAAGTTCTTGAAGATCGTCGACTTCAACATCTCTTGAACAGCAACTTTTATCAGCATCTTGTTTAACTGGAACATGTTACCCGCAAAGATGCCTTTGAAAAGATTCTCGGGATGTGATCTTCAGTGAAATCATCATCGTCTTCAGCTTCTACTCCGACCTGACCTGTGGAAAAATTCGTGAGCCAAATAATGCAAGACCCTAAAAGCACCGTACTACAGCTTTTCATTGCGCCAGAACACACATCGAACGATATGTTTGGCCCCCTCATATTCGAGAAGCTCAGCTTGAACGCCTCCGGCAGAACTTCAGAGCCGCTGGTTTCCGACACCCTGGGATCTGCGCATGATCCCCTCTTTTTTCACTTAATCGGTGGATTCAATACACCCAAACCGAACTTCAAAGCTTGTGCGCAGATTTCGAACATCGCTACGAAGAGGACGTTGCTACCCACCCACCGCATCCCACCGCATTCAGCAAGCACAACTCGATTCACTTCAAGTGCAGATCCGGGATTTGGAGCAACAACAGTCTGACATCGCTGAACAGCTCACTCAGGTTGCCAACCGTGTCACAGACCTTTGTCGGACTTGTTCGCCGTACTGTAAACCAAGCAATGAAAGATGTACTTCGACATTTTGACAGTGCCACTTCGTTACTTGCTTCACAACTTGCCAGCACTCAATTTGATAATCAAAACCAATAGAGTTCGTCTCACCCTGACTTGCATTTGAATCGCATAACATCTTGACGAGCAACACAAACTTGTGTGAGAGCTTGTAGCGTTTTAAGTGACAGATTGGTAATGCATCTCTCTGCTGTGCGATGTAACATGCATTTGGGTTCACGTGAGCTTGGTATGCTTCTTCAGAAATGAAGCGCACAGCCGTTGAAGCTGGTTTCCCTGCTGAAGGTCATCTGACCAGAGTCGAAGTCCATCTTTATCTTCCGCTTGACTATTGCACAACAGGAGAAGCCATGGTGTGCCATCTCAATTGCCATTCCTCTGACACCATTGATCATGTGACGTGCCGACTGGAGTATTACATCAAAGATGTCACTGGTAGATGCCCGAAATTTTCTTCGCTTCAGCTACGACAAGCAGGTCGACATATTGCTTTCACAGAGCCCGTTACAGCTCTCCAAACATTGGAGCCGGTAACATTTGTGCGCGCTGGACCTGCGTACATAATCAACCTGAAGCCTGAATCTGCCGCTTCGCTAAAAAATGGCACGGTCTCTGCAAGTGCTCTTTGCGGTATCCGTTTGTTTTTCTCCCTTAGCATACTGTTTTACTCGTTTTCGTGCCGTACCTTTCGGCTCCTGAGTATTCCCATGTATTGTTCTTCTCTGTGCCGTCATGTCAATGTGTTTGCCTCCCGACGTCCTTGAAGCGATTGCCACCTTCCTGACTGATATCGAACTACAGCTCGGAGTTGTGGACCAGAGAACTTCGTGGTCCTTCATTGAAGCGCCAGACTTTGGCTATGACGTGGAGATTCAGCAGTCCGCGAAAACACTACACAGATGGGCCTTCCAAACGACTGCGAATCATCCATTCGCTCAACGGTCAGTCGCAGTCAACCTAGGTATGGTTGGATCAACATCCTCTCTGGACTGCGGTTTAGGTGCTGTAGTACGATTTGCATCCATGCCGAGATCCTGGGTCAAACCCATGGTTCGACTTGCCAAAACTCACAACATTGTAAACCTTGGCGAAGTTCTTCGAACTAGCACTCGGAGAGGTACCCGGTTCAACTGGATTAAATCTCCGTTGGTCGAGCGGATTTCTTTGGATTCTGAGGTCCTAGAGTCCTTACACAAGGTTCGGATCAATGCCCTTTTTTCTGTGTAGCAGTTCTCCTTTGCACAAGCCTTTGTACTGCTTGGTAGTGACACATGTTGCAATTTTTTATCACTGTGCTCATACTACCTAATGCAGGAACCGATCTCAGCGAATGGTTACAAAAGACTACACATTACCGGCATGTCCGGTGGTAGGTGTGCACACCTCCTGTACCAAGGATTTAGGAAGTAACGTGCAGGGGGCATGGGGCTTGTGCTCTTAGCCATGCCAACGAAGCTACTGAGCACAAGCGGATGGGAATGTAGAATGTAGACGTACATTCCTGTACCTGCAAAAAGCTGGGCCCCTGAGTCAGCAAGATTAGAAGGCCCCTGTGCCAAGATTAGACATTCAGTTTTTGAAATGATTGAAAGGCATGATGAAATACACTAACACAAACAGCATCCACCTGAGTAAGGATGACTGGTCTGCAAGTGTGTGTCTACAGTATTTGCATCCGAAAGACTGGCTGCCAGCCGGGCTTGCCGTAGTTCGGGGTCAATCTCTTGCCCCAACGATCTTGCAAAGACTGGAACAAGCATCCCACCTGCACACGTACGACAGGTAAACCTTCACACTCACCGGCTTTCGCTCTTGATTCCTCCAGAACCGATGCAAGAGTTTGCAATCTGTTTCAGTCATGGCATCTCACGCCGGTAATCTTCGTAACACATCATGGTCACCTCAGCCACTGCGGGGATCCCCTCTTTGGTCAATGCCTTGTCAGCATGGGTAGATGCAGGCGGCGCGGCCTGGAAAGTGTCGTGCGGCAAGGTCGGACAGGGGTCTTGCCACGCCAGCCAATATTTGTTGAAGAGATTCTTGAGTTGGGCGTCCGTCATGGTCAGGAGCGTCCGCACGAAGGGCTCGAAGTCGTCAGACAGGATCCTTGCATGATACGTCTTTGTCGCCATTGCCCCTCGAGGGTCTTGGAGTTGGCAAAGCACTGGCAGTGAAGAAGATGAGGCTCTTCGCGTCTTGCTTGTAGTGCAGGAAGCGGTGAATAACATTCTAAACTGTCCAGGCATTTCTTCTGTCAGGAGAACAAAATGTAACTTCGGCTGGTTCTGGAGATTCTGCTGCAAAGCATTCCATCGAACTCTCATGTGTTTCCACATCGACATTCCGATCTTGATGATGGGACTGTCCGGGAAGGACACGGCGTACACGACTCCGACATTTTCCATAGACTTGTCCAGGCAAGTCCAACGACTTGCTCCTGCTTCGCCAGGCCGACTTGGAACTGCTGAATGCATCCAAACGCAGCAAGCAGGTTTACCTGTATCTGCAAGACCTCCAAATATCCGGTTATCCAATCACAGGTGAGGCATGGGATTTTTTCCCTTCCTCTCTAGGCACTTGCCTGGACAAATCTATGGAAAGTATCGGAATCGTGTACGCCGTGTCCTTCCCTGACAGTCCCACCATCAAGATCGGAATGTCGATGTGGAAAAACATGAGAGTTCGATGGAATGCTTTGCGGCGCAAAATTTCCAGTTGTTCTCCTGACAGAAGGAAATGCGTGGACAGCTGAGAATGAAATTCACGGCTTCCTGCAGCTCTGCTTCATGAAGGGTCTCCGGGCTGCAGCAGCCGAGGCAAAACGCGTGGTTCCCGAGCTCATTGCTGGGAATCCAACTTGAAGCCGTAATGACTGCAAGGGCAAACTTTCAGAAGGAAGGAAACTTTCAGAAGGAAGGAACAAGGCTTTTTCTCAAAGATCTAGCATTTAGGGTTCAGGGTTTTGTGCCCTAGCCCTAAACAGGGTGTGAGTGTGCGACTTAGACAGCACATCACCAAAGACACTGCATTGGCAGAGATAGTTCATGCACCCTGCGCCTACCAATCCCACATATTCCAGTCACGTTACATTGACGACCTGACCTAATCGCCGGACAGTGCACACGTAGTAGTGTGCCTTGCTGGCAACCAGGCTCCATGAAAAATGAGAATCACCCTGGCTCGGTCTCCTTAGTCCACAACAAAACCGGATTGAACTGTCTGCCGCTTTCGCAAGCAACTGAGGTATAGGCTTGAAGCGAAAAATGTGCACGTTCTTGTTCTTCCTCAGTTTTTATCGAGCAGTATGTGAAGGAAAAGGAAGACGGTACAAGCTTACAAGAATGATCCCGAGATGGTGATCTCAAGAAAACAAAACATCAGGCATGAAGACAGCTGCACATGTGGATGTGCTCCACAGCAAACACGACAGTTGTTGGTCCAACACGACAAATCGTTTCAGGGCCTGAACCACATCAGGCATGTTCTATGATACATGTGCAGCAGGATCATGTCCGGCCGCAGGATGCATGTGTGTCTCAGGGTTCTGCTGGCAAGATCCTTCCTGCTTCTTCGCTGCATAAACCAGTCGCACAATCTAATACGACTCTGGTTTCCCTAGCATCTTGCGAACGAAAGTTCATCTTCGAAGAAAGGATAGCTTGCCATGCTGTCAAGTTTGATTTGGTGGCTCATCTCACCATCTCACCATCTTGGTCAGGGCAGTGCGGGCGTTCGAAGAAATTTCAACAGCTCCATAGCTGTGGGCCCGGACAGAAGAACTCCTGTTCGGTTTCGGCTGTTGCCAGCCAACCTACACCAATCGGCCCGAAACGCGACAGAGAGGCTATGGAGATCAATGGAGGGGAGGTGACGGCCTGCCTGGCCTGGCATTACAGTCTCACGCGTACACTTCTGAATGCATGTCATTGGGTATTTTTTAGTCTGTGAAGCGACATTTGCAGCGACGTGTAACTTGGATGACTTAGATGTCGATCAAAAAACTTCGATATTCAGAAGCCCAGGGACTGCGCATTCAAGCGGACGTCAACCAACCGGGGCCCGAGCTTGGTCTTTCCGTCGGATGGATCATCCACTGGCTCTGCCTTCTGAGATAGCAGGAATAGCATGTCTGCACACCAGAAGGGTTGGTCAATTGGCAAAGCCCTCACCCGCTTCTACCACCGAACAAGCATCACACTTCACCATATCTGCCACCTCATCATGAAAGCCAAGACTGGAATACCCCCAGAAATCACAGAGAAAAACATAGGTCTAGCGGAGTGCATTCTTGCTGTGATACTTCACTTCGCGGCGATGGGCATTTCATGAGCAAGGTCTTTCTCTCCAGCCTTGCGCCCGCCCCCCTCCCCGAAAATGCTATGCGCAAGCGACAGTCCGATTGAGAAGGTGAGCATTTGGGTTACACCATATCGGCATATCAGTCAAAGCAAACACGGCACAGAACAAGAAGTCAAAACGTCTCCCGACATGAGACTTCAACTTCAACTTCTTCGACACATCGCTTTTGAAGGTTTATCATGCCACTGAAGATACCCTCCAGGCCCAAACTGGCTGGACAAGTACGGAGATGCAACGGCTGGAGCCTCAAAGGTTGCAGGTTTGCGTCGTCAAACTCTTCCGGACTCTTTCCGGGGTCTCCACAACATCTTACCGTTTCACAGTCTTCTAAAGGGCATAGCTCATGTAACAAGCTAGACTTCAATGCGGCATTGGGTGCAACTTCCTTGGTATGAGGCAGCATGCAACTTATCATGAAAACAAAACTGAAGCATCTCCGCTAGCGCAGAGCATCTTCGCTGATTGTTCATGAAAGGATTCAACGCACAACTGGAAAACGAACGCTTCCCATGCCTCGAGCATAAGGAAAGAAGGATAGCAGCTCGAGTAGCATGCTTGAATCTTTATTGGAATGAACCATCGCCGGCTTGAACCGCCTGACAACCTTGCACTAGGTGGCACTGTGAACCACGGCTTTTGAAGGAACTCTGTTCTTCCGCATGACCGGTAGCCAGCAGCAGTGAACGGTGGCAGCCGAAGAACGAGGCGCTGCGGATGAAATAATCTGCAGGAGTGGAGTGAGTGAGTCAGGGAGTGTTGCGATGAGAAAGGGGTCAGGGAGTGAGTTAGTGAGCGAGCTCCGACGTGAGCTGTCATTTTGCAGTCCGCCAGTGCTTTCGTCACAATAGAAGCTGCTGGGACCGTAAGGAGCAGGCCGGGAAATCCTCGACAACCAGCTCTGTGTCTGCCTACATGTTCACCGGAATCGTCTCAGACGCTGAAACGATGTGAAGAAAAAGCGCAACGGGTCGGCAAAACGACAAATTCAGCCAGTCTTGCCGCACCTCGCTCGAGACATCGTCGAGCATTACGCCACTTATCCTTCAGAACAATACCAACTGGCACGCCCAATGCACGACCTGCTGCATAGCCTGTCAGTGAACACTCTAGCCTTAAGTAGACATCGTACTTGTTGGGGTCGAAACCTTAGGATACGTCCGCACGTAATCTCGTGATAAGCCCGAAAAAAGAACCGCATGGATGCTGCTGAGCACATGGCCGGTGCGCAGCTCACATTTCCTGAGTCCAACCTGACAGCAAATTAGGTTGAAGATGCTCATCTTAATAGTGCACAAAAGAAGCAGAGAGGAGCGAGTCTTCATCTACGTTTAGAGGATCAGTGTGTGTTGCAAGATCAACTCAATATCAACTCGACCTTGTGGGAGACTTCGTCGAACCGACTCGTGCTTCCCCACAGGGAAGTGATGCTGATCAGGCTCTTCCAGCATGGACAAAAGGACGATGCAGAACATGTTTAGCTGCGCACACAAATCACGAAGCTAGGCCCCAAACGTTTGCTATGAACGTTTGCTTGTCCATCGCTTCTCTACCCGACTCCGCCACCTGAGAGAGGACAGCCGTGCGATGCATTCGACCAACATCCGCTGTGCCCCTTGCTCTGGAAAGCTCTGGCTGAGCAGCATCCGGATCACACAGCTGCCAGGCTACCTGTTAAAGTTCAGACTCATGCAGCAATCCTCGGCCTCCAACATTCCTGCTGACCACACCGGCACACTGGGAGTTTAGCAACGAGTTGAGAATTCGTGTCCGCAGCTCCGGTAAAAATGCTTGGCCTTTGTGCCAAAGCAACACAAAACGACCCTGCATCATTTCGAGTAAGCCGGCAACGCGGACTCCAGAGTGATCTCCTGGGGCCGCTTTGAACAGCAGTCTGTCTTTCCAGCTACAACTGTAATGTCTGAGTACAGGGAGCATTGCCAAAGCAAAGATCAAACACATAGCAGGTCTACACGCACACGATGGGTCTACACATTCTACCCGACCTGCCGCCGCACATCGTTGGAACCCACCGCAGCGCTGAGAGATCCCGAAACTTGGACAGGCAGAGCATCAAATTGCGAGAGGCAGGACAAACAGGTGGTACGTGGTGACGCGGCCAAACCATGTTCAACCTGCTACATGGTTTAGATGGGTGCATCCCAGTTGCACAAGTGGCGCCGGCCGAAAAGCCTGGCGGACATGACCTGCCACAAAATTCTACACACTCACCGAAGCGTTCAATGACAATGCGCAATGCGCAAGGCCTTGATCTCTACGTTCAGCGGCCTTCCGAGAAGCTGTGGCTCTGCCGAATGATGCCAAATGCACAGAAGACAGCACCTTCCGCCGTAGAGGTCCACGTCAAACTCCATCTGGCAAGCGCCAACATCAACTGGGGTCTGCGGCCGCTCTACATCTGAGGCCGGTACGTTGAAGTCCCACACTGGGTACTCGGACGCTACTGAAACCTGTCTACATCAAACGAAGATTGAGGCAGATGTAGCATTTTACACCACTGTGGGCTCAGAGCACGGCAGGGCTGACATGCCTCTCCTGCCTCTCAGAGTTCACCTGCGTAGTCACCTCGCTCATCAGCACATATCAGCAATGCACTTCATGGTTACCAGAACTCTATTCTGCATTGATTCCACGTGCACCTCGAGCAAAGTGGGTTCTGATGGCATGTCCTTCGCATGACGCAACCAGAAAACGTTGCGTGCTGTTCACATACCCATGCAACATTACTGGCACAGTCCCTGCCATGATGGACACAGAGCCGCCACTTGCGCTTCGAAATCGCACTGGCGCGATGGGAAAGTGCACACGCAAGTCAGCTGCAAAGGCAAGCAGTTTTCTTTCGAGGAGTTCGCAGGGCGACGACTACATCCATCATGACTGCTTCCTCATGCACAGGAGAAGCCATCGGAAGTAAAGAAGAAACTTGCTGGCTTACATGACTCACGGATTCCAAATGTTTTAATGTCACAACGTGATGAACATGCCCGTCCGCAGCAGCAGTTGAAACGTGTCCAGCAGACGATGGGTCGACCACTGTCGGTCTTCTTCTGGCAAGTGATGGCACGATGATTCCCACACTGACCATCACAATCAACTTACCTCAGCCTAAACAACGGCTTCCACCCCAAAGCTTAGCAGCGGACACCGCAGCTTCCTGCAGGTGAGGCGCCGGAAAAGGCCGAGATGCAAAGTCAGACGCATCAGAGATGAGGTGTCGTCGGCGTCGCTGGAAGCTGAGTTCAAAGCTTTGTGAGCCGCTGCCGCATGGATGTCCGACTGACACCCGAACGAGACTTCCACACTTCTCAACTGGTGTGCTGTGGGACAGGCCTCGCCGAACATGCCGCCCGACACGAAGCCTGGACAGCTGCAATATGGTCCAGGATGGTCCAGGTTTTGAGCGAAATCTTTGCGCGGGTGACTCTGAGACTCGGCTGTCCTGCAGTATCCTGGACTGCTTCCTGCGCGCGTTGTGCCATGCTGCTGGCAGCACTCATCGCCTGCACCAGGAAAGACAATCGAACTTCACCCTCTTTTTACCCGTCTGTATCCTACACGGTTTGGCTGCCCAACACCTCTACCAACAAAGCCTAGACGTAATCCCTTAACAAGTTATAACAAGTTACGTGACGTTATGTGGCACCAGCGGAAAGAAGCGTGAGCCTGAGAGGAAGAGAGAAGGACACGTCATCCGTCCAGCATGCCGAGTGACATCACTTGCCTCCATCTGCTGCCAAGGACTAATGCCCATCATGCTTGAAACCGCCATAGCCTCCAACAACAGTTCGAAAGTCAGTGCCACCAGCCCGCTTCAAGCACCAGGCACATTCCGATACACAGCAAACTGCCATAGTTTGTGCCGGTTGGGGCCTGCATGTTGGGAGGGGCACACCCGAGGCCGGGCTGAGCACTTGCAAGTAATGTGACTCCCTACAAGTTGCAAGTTTTCCCACTCTCTACTCATGGAACAAGGGTTCTGCTATGCTTCATGATTTGTGGCAGGCTGCGAGAAAACCGAAGGGGCAGGGATCGGTGTACTCTTAGTGATCTTCATATGGCAGCGGGCAATTCGAGGCCTTCGCACCTTTCAACAAGGACCGTGTTCTTAGCCTGCTTGCCGGTGCAGAAGCAGCTCTTCAGCAGCTTGGACTACTAGATGCCCTTTCGTGGAAGCGCATTTGGATACTTTGCCAAACTTCCGTCACCGGCAGATTTCAGCCTGGATCACAGTCACAGAGCGACGAATTTAATTCGGAGTTAGGCCGAGACGCATCGAGACAATTCCGGAGCTCCGTGGGCCCGTGAAGCACGCATCTCGTCGGAGTCGGAGCCTCCCAGTGCCCTTGGGCTCAGCTGGCAATCCGCATATCGCTCAACTAACCAGCCGCACCATCTCGCCTCCGACAGCCCATGTATCCCAAGCGTCACGCTGCGAGCGCATGCGCCGAAGCCACAAAACAACTGAGAAGCTCGAAGCCGAAATTGCCATGGCGGCCATGGACAGGAATGCCAGGTGCCTCCTGGAGTGCAAATGAAGCTTCCGGTCCTCGAACATGCCAAAGGGTCTGAACATGGACCCAAGGCCGATGCCACTGGCGGTGCTGGCGGTGCTGGCGTTGAGGGCGGTGCTGGTGCTGGCGGTCGTGGCGGCGGTCGTGGTGGCGGGCTTCTGCTCAGAGGGAAGCGCAGCAGGATGCATATCAAGCGGATCCACCGACAGACCTCCCGGGATCCCCAGCTTCACGGGCTTGAAGCTAGGGGGAAACGTCACCTTCGGAGTCACGGTCACTTGTCCCGGAGCTGGCGAGAGAAAGCTCGAGGTGGAGCTTTCTCGCAGTGCTGTGCTTTCGGGAACTTCTGTAGTGACCGTGGTGGAGATCGCTACAGGAACTGCTGTAGGCGCCAGGAAAGCTTTCGTGGTCAGTCGAGGGGTTGTTGCAGTCAGCATTGCAAAGGGATTGAGAGGCGCTGCGGGAGGGTCCTGATTGAGAGGATTGTCTGCGCTTGGGCGGGAAGCTTTGGCTGTCGAAAGTGCTGGAGGAGGGGCTGCTGGCGTTGTCAGGGGTTGGGGAAGGTTCGTGGTCGTGAGTTGCACCGTGGATGTTGGCAGAGGTGAAGACGGCGACACGAACGGATTGAAGGGTGTTTTCGGAGGGTCGCGATTCAATGGATTGAGTGGGAGGGCCGCAGAGGGCTGTGCAGGATTCTGCACCTGTTGCGGAGGTTTGGGTGTTGCTGGTGGGCTTTGGTCATGATCCCCTGCAGTGCCCAACATGATGTTGGAGGCACTGGCAGGACCCGGCACCCACAAATTGTCGGCAGGATGATGCGTTGGTGACGGCTGTCTGGGAGATGGGGTCGCCTTGGGTGCCTGAAGCTTTGGGACACCAAGCTGACTGCTCGGCGCAGGTTCTGGTAAAAGGCCTCCTCGAGGATGCTTCTTCACTGCCACAGAGAAGCTGACGCCGCCGAGACCAGCAATGTATTCATCCTCGGCATGTCTTGTGGCGCACGGGTCGCTGGTCAAACATTCGTGGAAAGTTACACACAGCTTTGCATATTGGCACGAGAATCTGCACTGATGCGTCCATTTCGGTCAGCATCTAGGGAATGGAAAGACTCCTTTCAAACAGGCAGGAGGCAGTACGAGCAGCGACTAGCGCAAGAGGGGCTTAGACCGCGAGCACCATGGCCTCGAAATCCGAAAGGTCCACGATAGGCTTCTCCTCCAGACGGCTTTTGGAACAACGAAAGCTGTGACTTGCATCTGTGCACCTTGGGTCGAATGCCACCGGCAAGTTCCTGCAGACTCAGCAGGCCCCACATACTCCACACGGTTGCTTCTGACTTTCGTGCACGGTCACCTGCAGGTTGACTGCACACTCGCTGTGCGAGAACACCTGTAAGTCTTTCGTCTGGCCAGGCCAACCTTGGACGACTTTGCAGCTTGCATAGACTCGTGAATGGCCGCAAGAACTGGCAATTATTCAAACCAGGCACCATTCTGATCGACATTGCCCCTGCCCAGCCACAAGTCCATCTTCCCCAGTTTGGTTGCAGGAAGTCGAGACACCTGAAGCAGCGATTTTTGCTCGACTACGAGACTTCGCAGAACTCTGAGAACTTGTACCTGACACATCTTTGCCAGCTTCCCATCCTGCAGAGAACATGCCAACCCTCCCACACTCTCTATCTACCAGGTGGGAGGGCCAGCCCTCAACCTCGCGCGTGAGCGTCTCTCTCTCTCTCTCTCTCTCCTGGAAGAGGCGCTGCAAACCATGCTGCGCATCGAAGACCAAAGCCACTTGCACCCATCGTCCAGAGGGCAGAGGACTGTCTGCCTGCAAAGGAGGCACCCGGCAACAGCGAACGGCACTCGTGTAAAGCGCCTGGCAGATCTGCTCAAGGACCACGGATTGCAGGCTGCCGTCGCGCGTTGCCAAAAGAAGCCCGGGCGAGGAATCCGAATCCTGCATCTCATCACACCCTGCTGTCTGCATGTACGCTTTCTTCAAGAAGCGCGACAATGGGCAGCTGAGACCTGGACTCCTGAGATGATCACCCCGTCAGCTGCCTGAAACATTGACAGACCAGGCAAGTAACCATCTGCACTCTGAATGCGCGGTGCCTGTTCGGGCTTGAGAAGCTGCATCGTAAGTGTGAAAGAGCCTCCAAATCAGTAAAAACTTGCTTTCGTGACTTTGGTAGACATGTAACCGACATGAGGTGCTTTTCAACATTGGGTCACTCAACGCGAGCCGCCTCCATCTATGCCCAGCTGAGAAGCCGGACCCACCTTCGTGGCACCACCGGCCTGTCCACCTGAGTAGCAGCAAAGAATGGCGAGATATAGTCAGAGACGACGTAGCTGCAGCAGGTTGGGTTGCGGGCTAAGCACTGCAACACTCGTCACTGGAACTTGAGAAAAGATCGCGGTGATGTCCTCCGACGCGGGAACCGGCACAAGATTCACCGTTAATGCAGCAGTTTAACTGCTTCGTGAGCAGATGCCTTTGTCTCCAGGGCTTCGGGGAACACGAACAGAGACGTCAATCTCGCCAGCCTCAGCAAGAGCCACCGGAAAGGACATTGGTGTTGCAGCTCGAGGCCTGAGTGCAGACAGGCAGCCGGCTTCTGGCGGACTGCGACTCACCTGCTACTACCTGACACAGAATGCCATGTGATGCAGGTGCGCTTGTCGCTGCGGTCCCTAGAAAGATGCCTGCTGTCCGAAGCCGCGGAAGGGAGCTGCTCCGGAACAGGCCTCCCAGATTCTCAGCTCGGAGGTGCAATTAGTTATAGAGGGTCCCATAGGATCGGGGACGAGATACCCACTGGTTCTGAAGGGGAGTCGCGCAGCGCTCCTTGGTCTCCTCGCCGTTCATCCAGATCCGCTGCTCCTCTGAAGAAGCCAAAGGAAGAAGGCTACCAGAGGAGAGGCACAGGAAAAATGCGTGCGGTGCACATCCGGCACCTCGTTCGAGGCATCGTAGATCCACGCCACTTCCAACCAAGTATCCGCAGGAACCTTACACCGAGCTCGACGCTCGACGAGCCTGAGACCTCTGTTGACGATCCTGCCTTGTACGCTGTTCTGCAGGCGGAAATCTGAGCTCCAAAGGAAAATGTCAGCTGGCCGCCTCGGTCATAGGATTTTAGTTTTTTCTGATATCACCGTCGCCGTCGATCTGAAGAGCCACCAGCCTTGCAATCCAGCGAACAGGCCTGGCCTCACAGTGTCACAGGGGCTAAAGGCTGCTACTGTTTAATGTTTAATCATCTCGGCTAAAACAGCATCGCTGCGACATGCAGCTTCTCTCTGATCCCTTGCACGCTGTTCGTACTGCCAATGAACCTTTTTGTTGATACTTGCAAGAAGGGCTGTGATCTGGACTGGTGCGAGCCAACCGAAGTTCGGAAAGCAGCCTGTCCATGACGTCCGAGTCGATGGTCCCAACGATATATCCGGGCTTGCTACGAATCGGTGCTCTAGCAAGCGATTGGCCTGGGTCAGTGAGCTCTCGAGCGCAGCTCCTTCGGGCGATCAAGCAGCGAACACTCACAATGCCACACATCAGCCACAAGCAGTTCTTCTCTCCTGCCCATATCCGGGCAAGCAGTGTAAAGCTCCCCATGACAATACCCAAGGACTCAGCACTGCCGAGCCCGGACCTGAGTCCCGATTTTGGCCTTTAAAAAAAATCCGTGCGCTCGTTTTCTTCTCAGACTGAGCGCATCACTGGTCGTCCAGCTGCCCGCGATGTCTGAAGGTGTACGCCCTGTCTCTACAATCGGCGGAAAAGCTCTTAGTTCCACTTTCTGGCGTCATGACCGTCCTGGGTCCGGCCTCATCTCCTGCCACCTTTGGCAAGACTGATCACCTCCTGGCAGCACACCTGGCGCTGGATCTTCTGCCAAGAGATCTAAGCCGACTCGCCTTTGCGCGATTCTTCGGCGTCACTCCGTGTGCCGTTTGCACCCCCCATGCCCCCATTTCTCTCTGCAAACCGCACAGTTTCTCCATGGCGTGGTGGCTTTTCCGTGGTCGGCTGACAGCCCCGATCCTCTGGCCTTGGAGAGCGTAGTTCTGCATGAGCTGCTCCCACTGTCGCTGCGAGATTCCCTCAGGCGCTCAAGGCTCTATGCTCTATGCTCCTCCCTTCACTACGGCGACGGCGGTTACGAGACTTCCATCATCTTCTAATTCCCGTGTGCCCGTCGGCAAGGAAAGTCCCATTTCGCTAGCTTCATCGGCCTCTACACGCTTCTCTTAGCTCTAGGCGGCATTTGCATTGACTTTGCATGTACTGTACAGATGATGCTTGTAGTCCAACTGACCTACATGAGCAATCGGATAGAAGAACAAATACACGGCAGTACGGAGCAGCTGTGACCCAACATTATAATGCACTGTGAGTGAAAGCCAGAACTAGAGAGCATGACTGGAGCGACTTATGCTTGGTGCTCTTCATTCGACTGAAGCCCTTGTAGTAGATACAAGTATGGATGCTTGATGCAGCATGCTTAAGGCACCAACTTGATGCTGTCCACCAGTGGCCTGGCGAGAAGTCGGTCCCCCTACTGTGACTGAGCGGAGCCGTCCCTGCTGGATGCCTTCCAGCACTCCGAAGCATCCGAACAATGCTCAGCCGCCTCCGGGTTTGCAGACTTCTTGGTCCTCTTGACTCGCGCAAGCGTGCAAATCGGCCAGGCCTCGAGGAACATGTTGCGAACAAGCTCCTTTCAACTCCCAGCTGATCGGAGGGTCCAGGGACAAAAACGGCTTTCCAGCGAAACTGGCCTGCCTGGGAAGTGCCGATTCGGAAGAGGTGTCGGAACCTTGGCAGAGAAGCTGACATATCACCGTCGGACGCGTGTTTTGGCCAGGCACGTGGGCACATGCTGAGCGGCCCGACTCCAGGGAGGAGACGGCCTTGGCCCACGTACACAGCGCATCTGGCGCATCTGGCGCTTCGATGCGCTTTGGGTCCTGAGCTCAGCACGCCATCCTTGTCCCTATCGACGAGGTGGAAGGCTTCCTTCAAACGGAGCTCACGGCCCGGTTTTCGAAGCCTGGTGGACAGGCTCCTGCCATGGAACTCCACCCAGGCCGTGGGATGGCCATGCTTGCCAGACTCCTTCGCCAAGGAAGAGCAAAGGGCAAAGGCCGCCAGTGGCCCGCTTTGGCCCGCCGTCCTTTCCAGTCATGGAAGGGAACCTTAGCAAGCCAAGGGCCGAGGATGCGCTGTCACCCTCCCCGCTCTTAGCCGCAAGCTGCAGCTGAAAGACCTCGCAACCGCGTGCGCAACGTGCTTGGAACGTGCGTCACTGCCGCACTCGAAATTCTACAGAAGGCCGAGGTAGCTGCTTCCGGAGGAGGGACGAAGACCTTGCCATGCTTTCTCCTGCTTTCAGCATCCAACGATGCGCCACTCTGAAGCCATCAGAAAGACTCTGTTTACTTTCATGTCAACGATGTGGCATCTGATGTCTCCTCTGTTTCGTAGGTCGAACCCAACCAGGCTGAGAATTTCTGCGCGGCCACCCGAGTTCGGTGCTCATCGAATGCTGCAGGGACGAGAATTCCGGGCGCATTCTAGAAAACAACTGCAAACACGCACGCAAGCACGGATTCAAGAACTTCTGCACCCCAGCCTGCACATCCAGGCGGTACCTTTGGGCACTGGCCTTCTTCGATGCGCTCCCAGGATGACCTTCGGAACATAGGTCCCCAGTTTTCCAGAGCATGTCCGTCATGAGGTGCTCAAGATTCTGCAACCGTGACACGAGACGTCCATCGTGGCCTGTGCAATTCGGTGTCTGCCGGTGGCGACTTTGCGTTGCAACAGCCAGAAGCCGAGTCTGCAGCAGCAGTCTTACCGAAGTTATTGACCTGCCCAGATTGAAAGCAAAACAAAGCCAGTCTCACAAGTGCAGGGGGGGGGGGACAAAGGGGGATCTCTGCCTCGACTATCAGCGGGCGGTTCAAGGTTCCCCTCATCTCGATAACTTCTTCAGCATCGGCCTTAGCTGCTAAGACAAACTCCGGTGGCCTGGTGTCGGACCATCATCGCTCAATGGGGAAAGGACATCTCCGCTGAAGCTCAAAGTAACACCCGCATAGGTCCTGCCATTATGTGACAACATGTCTCCAGGGGTGCTCGCCTTGCCTGCACAGTGTGCGGCTGATGCGAGCATCCTCGGCCCTTCACCTGTGCCTCATGTGTGCATGCTGCGACTTGAATCTGTCTTCGATCCCGGTCCCGGATCGCTGGTTCTTGTTCAGAAGGCCTCCCTGCCACCTGAAGATCAACAATGCCACATCCACGAAGGTATGTGGGAAGTTCTCTAAATTAGGGTCCCGCTTTAGGTCCCCAATGTATTGCGGCACCCTATAAAAGGGACCCTTAAAGGGACCCTAGTTTAGAGAATTACCCATGTACATACGACGGTGCCTGACGACCCAAGTTTGAGCAACTGGGTTGAAGAGCATGAGGTCAATATCCTCAGCAAATCGAATCATCATCAAAAACCGCGAATCATATCGATCAGACATATTGATCATAGTGTGATCGTGCAGATGCAGCAGCGTCCTCGTTTGCCCGGGCCGCAATTCGCAGGTTGACCTGAGAAAGCTGCCCTCGCCCTGTTTTGCGATCATGTTGAACATAGGCACCCGGCGATACCTGCCGGAATGTCCGCCAGCTTCTCCGTTCGCCGGCTGGAAACCATTAACCTCTGCATGTTCTGCAGGCAACGACAGCGTCTGACGATCTGCATCTGCACCTCGCCCGCCCGGAGCCAGGCTTGCCTGGGAAACCAAAAAAGGTCTGCCTGGGCCTCCTCCCCAGCCCTTCCCCGCAAGGTGGGGGTCGTACAGGTAAAGAGCAGCGGTGTCTTCCGATAGTGCTTCGGTGGGCCTCGCTCACTGTAGGGTAAACACTTGAATCGACGGCCCAAATCGCCCAAGACCCCGACATGGACTCAGCTCGTTCCAGAGAAGTCGGAATCTTAGCGTTCGACAGCCCACCCCTTTGTGTCACAGTACGGCGTGTCTAGGAATGAAGTTCAGAGGTTTCCACGGATACTAACACAAAGCCCCCTGCTGGGCTTCGCTGAAGTCACCCTGGCCACACGACTAAATTTCCACTGCCACTGTCTGCCAAAGGCCTGGCCTGGCCGCCGAAGAGGAACTTGCGAATCTGCATGATGCCTGGCAGGGCTTGTCGCGGCACACCAGAAAACTAAAGCACAAACACCGAAATATCGAAGCATATTTTTCAGCGCTACCAAAAGCTTCTGGGTGTTGTAAACCTGGGTGAGAGCCTGCCACTGCCTGAGACTGGATGCCGCTTCTATAAGCAGTCATGAGCGACATCTTGTGCTGTCAAACAAGAATGTGTCGGCAGCACTCCCACCGGAGCCAGCGCAGTGTTCAGCGAAGCGGTCCTGCTGCAGTACTGTCGCGCAAGCCGGTGACCCAAAAAGGGCAGTTTCAGCCTGTCCGGGCTGCGACTGCAGATCTTGCCAAGCTCTTTCCTGAAACTATAGCTCGTTGAAGCGCTGCCGCGGGTTGCTACAAAGGCTTCTTGACAACACATTGAGCCCGACACGGCAGTACCGAAGGTCTGCTTTAGCTTTATCGAGCAGCTCCTTGCCAAATCCTGCACCTCCGTCGGTGCCCGCTCACAAGTTCACATGCGATCCCATGCAGTCCCATCCCTGCCTCCCTCAAACTAAAAGCGTCTGCGAAGGTGGCCCTGGCTTGGCTGGGCGAGGCGCGTCACGTCCTAACCCAAAATGCCTCGGCCTCGTCACCGAGGGTGCTCCGTTGCCGACATAGGCAAAGGCTTCGGCTGAAGACACGGCCTGGCGGAACCGAGGCAACAGAATGCGACATGATGCCATGCAATGCACAATGCCCTCTGCCTGAGCCTTGGAGCCAGGCCAGGAGCTCCAAACCTTGGAATCTTGGAAGCTCCAGCCTTACCTCGCCTTTTCAACAACGGCGGCGCACGTAGTCCCACTTGCAGCGGGGAACGGCCCGTTCTCCGTCGGGCCCCGCCTCGTTACTCTCAGTGTCACGTGACACTCACGTGACTTCCGGTGACCTCCAGCATGGGACCAGCAAGGTCCTGGAATGGAGATTGCGTTGTTAGAGCCACGAACCCGTAGCTCTGCATGTAGCCACGGGACCAAGCTTGAATGAAGGTGAACCAAGGACTCAAGGACGGACAAAAAGCACGACCAACATCCCAATGTGCCGGCAAAATGGAAACGCTAGGGGGGGCAAGATGACCGGTTGTCTTGGTCATCTTGCTTTGTCCCAGACGAGGGGGGAAGCAAAATGAGCGGTCATCTTGGTAATCTTGGGAGGGGGGCATGTGGGGGGGGGGGGACTCGTTCATGCGCAGCTGCCGGAGGCAGCACCCCCAAAACACTGCAGTTATGCGCTATGTCATGTTATACTCTATTCACATTTCACACTAGAGTACAGTATGGTCTAGGAGATTTTCAGGTGGGTAGTTACAGTTATAGGAGCCTTGTAGAAGGTCTATATACCTCATAGAAGCCTTATAGAAACTCTATATACCCTAAACTCCCCACCTGTAGCTTCCTTTCATATGGTACAGTGTAGTATAGTATAGTGAAAGCATGATCAAGCGAGCACTCTGCTTGGGGAGCCACATCAGTTTTCCCTACGATGTGTGGGGGGGCCCCCGGGGCCACAGATTTACCTTAAACCCTAAACCCTCCTCGGGTTTAGGGTTTAGGGTCCCTAAACCCTAAGCCGTATCCTTTCAAGTCACCCAACCATGGCTCCACAACCCTGAACCCTAAACCCTAAACCTTACACCCCAAGCCCCTAAGCCCTAATTCTTAAACCCTAAAGAGTGTTCCCCAATACCCAACCTTTAAACTTTTTGGGTTCTTATAATTTAGTAGTAATCTCAAAGTTTAACCGTTTATTTCCCCGGCTTATTGGGGAAGTCCTAAACCCTAAGCCCCTCAACCCTAAACCCCTAAACCCCTAAACCCCTAAACCCAAAACCCTAAACCCAAAACCCTAAACGCTAAACCCTAGCCCGAAACCTTACACCCCTAAGCCCTGGCTCAACCCTAGCCCGAAACCTTACACCCCTAAGCCCTGGCTCTGCGGGGAGGTGATCGGTGACGCCTTCTGTTGTTCAGGGTTTCGTGGTCTCGGTTCTTCACGAACTCAGCTACTCTCCTCTGCCAGGACTGCTGGTCGCCAGCAGGGCCGCTGTTCTCCTTCAGCTTTTTCTGCACCTGTCAACAGGGGCTGGGGTCTGGCACTTTGAACACATGGGGTGACACGATGGCTTCTCTCGTCCATGGTTGTCTTTAATTCTTTCTTTAGGTGCTTTTGGGCGATGTTTTAATGCACGTCTACTGCACGAGCGCAAAAGCGACGAGGAATTCGACAAACGGCTGCCGAGCGCAAAAGCGACGAGGAACTCGACGTGCAAAAGTGGTTCCCCGGAGCTCAAAAACAGGCCCATTTTTTAGTTCAAAAAGTGGCCGCCCGCAGAGCGCAAAGGCGCCGAGGAATTCGACAAAGATAACAAACGCCTTTAAACGCAAAAGCGACGAGGAATTCGACGTGCAAAAACGGAGCCCAAACAATCTCAAAAACAGGCCCGAAACGAGCGCAAACGCGACGAGGAATTCGACCTGCCAAACCAGTCCACATGTCACCCTCTTCATGTCTGTTTTAAGGCTGTCTCTTGGCAAGTCCAGGCCTGTGGTGGGCAGATGCCACTCCAGCCTGTCTGGAGATCACAGGCCACAGTGTTCAGCAAGCTGTAGCTGCCGACCTGCACACCGTCAACGCAAAGCGAGAGCCGCCGAACTTTCTGGAAATGCTTCTGCAGCTCCAGACTGTAGCTGTATCGCTCCACGGTCACCAGGTCGGAGCCCTTCTGTCTGTCCTTGCAGGCATGTGCCTGCGAGGCCAATACGGTACTTGCCGACCGCAGGTGTTGTTTCGAGGTCTGGTCCACCACAGATGCCTTCTGTGAGCCGCTCAAGCGCCTTTTGCCTCCGGGAGTCCTGGAATTCTGCTTAATTATAGCTGTTGCTTTCGGCATGAGTTGGAGTTTCAACAATAAAAATAACATGTTCTGGCTGCTAAGTGTCCTCAAAGGCTGCATGTGCCACAGTTCGGTCTCGCTCCAAACCTCTTCCAATCGACTTCCTTCGAAAAGATCGGCCAAGGCCTTGCATAAAACAGCCACAGCTAGCTCGTAGGCTTGCCGCTTCGCCAGCCTGTGTCCCACGACTTCCTGCTGGCAGGCTGTCTGCATCACCTCCACCATATCAACCCAAGTGTCGCCCTCCTCAACAATGTCTTGGATGGACCGCAATGCTGTGCAAGACTGCACCAAATGCGGCACATGAACATGGACACAGTCCTCATGCACTCGCACCTCTACTGCGGCCTTTGGCAGAAACACCGTCTGAGCAGCACGAACGAAAATCCGAGCGACAGCTCGGAGCAGCATGGTTGCTCTTGCAGCCACCATCTCTGCGCCCGCTTTCCATCCATTCCTCGAGCTGATCTTTCTGCAGGACAGATGCAACAGAAAGACCAGCATCATCATCATGGACATGGTGTACTCTCCTGCAGGCGAAGTTTCCGGCGACCCGCTGTTGCTCCGCTCGTCTCACTGGCCGAATCGTCTCCGGCCTCTGCCTCTGCCTCGCCGGCCTCCTCGTTCTCGTCCAGGGCTGCATCCGAAGCCTTCCTCTTGTTTCTCATCGTCATTGTTTCGGAACGCTTGCTTTTCGTGAGATGCTTGGACGCTGCCTCCTTGATCTCTGCCTCGGTCAAGCCATCTCTGGTGGCTAACCTTTGCAGGTAGCCCAGCAGCTTGTTGGTCAAGGATGCCGAGACTATGGGAAGCCCAATTGTGATCTGTGTGGCTGCCCAAGAACGAAACCAGCCATCGTGCGTGCATCATGACTGTTCCCGTGCCCAATTCGCCCACACCCACATGTCTGGGAACAAGGCTGTGGCAAGGATAGCTTTCGAGCTTCTTGGAAACGGCTGCAGCAAAACACCATGCAATCGTAACAACACATGCCAACACAAGACTGGGTATAGCACTCGCTGAGACTGCCAAGGGAAACACCACATCGCAAATGCTAGCCTTCAGATGTTGGCTCTGCAGCATACATCTAGAAAGAAAGCCGTTCCCGTTCAAACACAGCACTCAGATGCTGGTGTTCACGCCCCCTTTCTTTGAGATCCTGCCAGCAACTGACTTTTGCTGTGAGGATTGTGTACACATACTATGGTCTCGTGAACCTTAGATAATTCTACCTCCTGCCAGCCCTCGCGGGGCTGTGAGGAGTAAGAATCTCCCGAATTTCGAACACACTGCTGGAAAAAATCAACCCCGGCCCTGACTGNNTACATTTCCATCATATATTGTCGCAAAAACGAATCAACAATTTAAGTGAAACAAGACCAACCACTCATGCATTAACTACTAAGACTTTCGCCTGGCAGTTTGACATGTTTTTGGTGCCTGCTTGATATGATTATACTATATAATGTATGATAAAATGACTTTGACAATAGTTCCATAATCAGAGATGTCAGAATTTTTTTATGCGGGTCCAAAAATGCCGACCGTCTGACTCCTCATACCTGTCTTGTTCCTCATACCTTTTGCGGCCTTCTGATTGAGAGCTTCGCCCCAGGTGGATCAGAAAAGACCATGAATGAATTAAAAGGCTCGAGAGGAGCCCCTGTAGACCGACGCGGCTCCACCCCGCCAGTCTGGCATGCACTTCTTTCCCTAGGCCTCAGCTGTCAGTGCCGCCCTTGGGCCGACGAGGGCGGCGAGGAGGTCGAGGCGGGTCGCCCTCCTCGGTCGTGGTGTTGTCCTTTCCCCGTCCTTTGCAAAATCGCTGGCATTGCTCGCGAGCTTGCTTGACAGCCAATCCATCTCCCGAAGGTTAGGCTAGATTTGCAGAAGCCCAAAGGGACGGGCAGCTCTTCGCGAAGGGCTTGAGGCCGCTCTTCCGGCGCATCATCGTCGACCAGCTCGGTTCCGGCAAGCCAGCCAACAACCAAGCCAGGGTTCGCTCGTTCTCGGTCCCCGCCTGGTCGATGAACAACGCCAGCCTCACAAACCAAGCCGCCATCTCGACGTTGCTGGTTCCCCGAGCTCGCTGCCAAGCGTGGCGGGCAAACGAGCCCACCAGAGCTAAAGTCCTGCGCTCTCCCACCGGGCACCTGCGCTCGATGTAGCGGCGTCAGACTCGAGGGCGGGTCCTCCACAGATTCGCCCAAGTCCTCGGCAACCAGCCGACGGATCTGCGACGACACCTGCACACTGTCCTTGAGCAGGCGAACGTAAGCATCCCGGCTGCGCGAGCGTTCAAGTTGTCGTCGTCTTTGGCTCCTCCTGAAGCCAGAGCTGATTCCAAGGGCCCCTGAGGGCGACTCGCGGTGGGCTGGTTGGGCACCAAAATCTAGGTCGGCCTATTGCACAGCTATCTTTCGACGTCCTGGTCGTGCTGAGCAATCCTGGGCGGCGGCACCCCGGCTGCCTCGCAGAGCCTGTCCAAATCTCGTCCACAAAGCCCTGTCCCAGCACCTTCCGGAAACAGCGCGAGCACCACGTCGCCCATACAGACCGGCGCGGCCACGCTTGAGCGGCCCGTTCCAAAGCAGCAACCTGAGCACGGCGGCGCTTCCCCCTCGTCGCCTCGACCTCCTCGTCTCCCATAGATTCCTCGGCAAGGGCACGACTGATCCAAGCGTCGGCAGCAGCCAAAGCAGCAGCAACGATACGTCTGACAACGGTTGGTCCTTGAAGTGACCGAAACCAAAGACAAAGGGCTGGACCGAAGCGAAGCACCCCCGCCTGACTCCACGATCATAAAGCCACCGGCCCGGTACTTCAAGAGGAACATCGCAGGATTCACATCGTCCCCAGAAGATTTATCAAGGGCAAAGGCCGCGCCTCCGAGCATCGGCAAGCAGCTGAGTGATATCCTCGCGGCTCAAAGCTCCCGAGGCCATGGTAAGTCAGCTCCGCAAAGATAGGCCTCCGTCTCGGAGCGAGAGGGAAAGCCGTGGCAACTGCAGTTCTGCTCCAAATGGCCGTGGCGATCTCGCTGCACGTGGGCCTGAAAGGTGGCAAAGCTCTGAGTGACAAACCCGGCTGGCACAGCAATGCACTGGAGCACAATGTAGTACCGGTTCCGGGTCCCCAAAACGGGCTCGAATGCGACCACTCCCTCTCCTCACGAAAGAGAGCACCTGCTGACAAGCCCGCCGATAAGCACGAGCGATCCGACCCTCGGAGGCCGAAGTGGCTGAGTCGCCTCCCCAGCAAGGTGTCCAGTTAAAGCTTGGGGGCCGTCGGTGGGAGCTTCCACGAGCACAAAAGATCCTGTAGGCGAAGGAGGGCTGGCACTAACAGCTGAAGACGCAGAGGCCTCGTCCATTGAGACCGTAACGCGAAGCCATGCGAAGGTACAGAAGTCAGTTCCAGCCAGGCAGCAATAAATCTCAAGCAATGTGAGCAATAGCGGCGCGCAGCTGCAGATAGAGCCAGGGCAGTGCAGAGCACCCCTAGGCAGCAACCAAAGCAGCAGCAAAGAATCGCCAGCAAGCCCGCTAGCCAGAAAGGAAGGCCACTGCTATTGCTCGGACCCCAAAAGCGAAGCTCCCTAGCAATCTCAGGCAGGGCCGCCCACATAGAGAAAGAAGCTGCGGAGTCACAACTGAACGGCTGACATGGGATATTGTGCGTATCACTGCGACGGGAAAGCGCGACTGCTTAATGTGATCGGCGGGTAGCGCCGGGTAGCGCCGAGTAGCGCCGAGTAGCGCCGAGTAGCGCCGAGTAGCGCCGAGTAGCGCCGAGTAGCGCCGAGTAGCGCCGAGTAGCGCCGAGTAGCGCCGAGTAGCGCCGAGTAGCGCCGAGTAGCGCCGGGTAGC